TAATTACAAAAACCTTATTGTGAATCCCCCACCCCTGGATGATGGATGTTCCCACCGAGGGTTTTAATGTAGTTGTTGCAAGGGAGAAAAAAGAGAACCGAACCCTGCGGCACCCCACAGAGGAGGGGCCGAGGATGGGGAACAACAGGCTCCAGCTGAACCTTGTAAGACGGAGTGGCTGTGGGTTAATGGCTCCCCTGTATCCGGGACGTTGTCATCGTTGGTACTGGATGGGGTTGTACGGCCCCAGACAGACCCAGTGCATAATTTGGGGGTCCTCCTGGACTCACAGCTCCTGCTCAAAGTGCAGGTAGCAGCCGCAGCCAGGGCTTTTGCACAGCTCCAGGTTGTGCACCAGTTACGCCCTTTTCTGGATCGGGATGTCCTTCGAACAGTCACTCATGCCCTTGTTATCTCCCAGATAGACTACTGCAATGCGCTCTACATGGGGCTACCCTTGAAGAATATCTGGAAGCTTCAGCTGGTCCAGAATGCAGCTGCGTGGGCTATTTTTGGGGTCCAAAGGACCCATATAACACCTTTGCTCCATGAGCTGCATTGGGTGCCAGTTTACTTCTGGGTCCAATTCAAGGTGTTGGTTATCACCTTTAAAGCCCTACATGGCATGGGGCCAGGCTACCTGAGGGACCACCTCTCCCCCACAATTTCAACCCGTCCCACCCAATCACACAGAGAGGGCATGCTCCAGACCCCCTCGGCAAAAGAACTCTGACTAGCGGGGTCCAGAAGGCAGGCCTTCTCTGCTGTAGCCCCTGCCCTTTGGAACATCTTGCCCCTGGAGGTGAGACAGGCCCCCTCACTCCCGGCCTTTCCGAGGGGCTTGAAGACCTGGCTCTGCCATCTGGCCTGGAGTGGGAAGGGAGGTCATTAGATATGGGGTTGGCTAGTCCCTAGAGGCCTGGTGTTGCTTCCATCAGCCTCCTGGATTTTTCCTCTTCCTTTTACTCTGTGTAAATGTTTTTTTAAATAAATTTTAACCATGTATTTATTGTTTTAATCTGTTGTAAGCCGCCCAGAGTCCCCCACTGGGGGGAGATGGGCAGGGATAAGTTTGATAAATAAATAAATATAAATAAATAAATAAATAAATTTGTTTGCCAAGTTGCTACTAAAGTACAGAGGATAAAAAATGGGGAGGGAGAACATGCACAAAGACCACTGGTTTTTATGAGTTATCAATCCCCAACACAAGCACTGTAATTAGATACTTTCCCCCTCCCAGCCAGATTTCAGACTTCAGTATGGCTAGTCCCACAGAAACATCCTTATTTCTGACCAACTCACTGATTTTATTTACTGTTGAAAAACAGGTATGTCAGATGTCTGACATTTAATCCTTGGCTTGTAAGGAAAGGGGATACCGAAAGGGCTAGAATAAGAAAAATCAGCTGAATTAGTGCATGTTCAAAGAAAGGAAAAGAAAGGTGTAAACATTCAGGAAGAAGGAAACAGGTACAGATCAATGCTTACCTTCTATTTCAAAAAACTTTATACTAAAGTTTAAGCTTTGATCTGAACAGCTTCACAATTATAGGGTACTCACTGTTTCTCACTCAATAGGAAAAAATTAAATTAAAAGAAGTTTCGTTTACTATTACGTAAGAAGTGACAGGTTAAATCTTAACAATGAAAGCAGATTTGAGCACCCAGACTTGATCAGCCATTGTGCAAACTGGGTAGAACAAAACTTTCACTTGTTTGGAATATAAGTGTCTTTCCTCCCAGCTGTTAAGTGGAAGATAGTTCAAAGAGATGATAGCAACCTTTTTTAAAGAGGCACTTTCCTTCCACGCAATGATCTGAAAATGTCATGTTTGCATCCATTCTCAGCACTGCTGCCATACAATATAATTCTGTTCTTTGTCTTCTCAGTATTTATGTGTGTATAAATCTATATTTATAATTAGATAAATTAATATAATTAGATTAATTACTAGTAAGTAATCTAATTGAAATTAATTTGCGTACATCTTTAAAATGGCTTTTTAAATAAATTGTTGTATTCTCCCCATACATTAGACTAATAGTTCAAATTTGTCACATTGTGCAAATTGCATCTTTGCATTGGGTAGCCCCCAACCACACCAGGCAGGGATGTCAGTTTACTTCATGAGTTGTGTAGAGTCTTGGCTGGTCTCAAAAAACCAGGTTCTAGGTTAGACGAACAAGTCGGAAAAACATCCCAGGAGAAGACAATGGCAAAAATGTCATGTTGCCAAGGAACTTATACTGTGGTTATAAGCCAAGGTTTATAGCTTAGCACTATGCCTGGGCTCAATATTGTGGCTTCTTAAAAAAGAACATGGTTTCATGTGATATGTGAGTCCAGCCACTCAAGGTTTTCCAATGGTACCTGGAGATTTTGCTCTTGCCACTAACCTACTTGTGATCTAGTTGTTAGGCGCACCCTGATTCTCATAAGCTCTTCCCATCATATTACTTTTATTAATCCCTCATCTCCCCTCAAGGGAGTTTCGTTCAATGCTGGAGCGACAGAACCATTTTTTGCTTTTTTTAAAGTAGCGTATCTCTCACTCCTAGGGGGAAAACTATTATTTTGTCCATATTTCTTAGAAATGAATTTGCTGATGGCAATTAATCTTCACAGTAACCTGGATCTCTTACCTACTTACGTAAAGTAGGGAGGAGTTCATGTAAGTCTTTATAATGTTTGTGCAACCAGTCTAAAAAGAACAGAAACTAACTTCAGAATAAGAAGTGTGATGATTGCTCGAGGGCTAAAGTGAAGGTTCATTTAAATACTGTAAATGAAGCTTTTGCCCTTGAGTTGTTCTGACTTGCTTCATAATGTAAACGCTGCAGAATGGTTACAACAGGTTTACAAAGCGCTTTTTGTGCAAATGTTATTCAGCACACTATTAAACTGTAACTAAATTATGTGCATTGAATTTATACATAATTTCCACCTCAAGTGGAATTCAGAGAAAGTGATAGAAATCCAGTCTCTAGGTACATCTTTCCAGTAATCAATCTACGAAAGGATGATTACCAAATTTCAGCAAGCCTAGAAAAAAATATGAAATGTTCTGATCCTACAGATCTTGAAATAGATTTTTGTTTCAGAATCAAGGAAGAAAAGGAGAATATTATGTGCCTGCCAGAAATTAGGAAGTGAAGCTTTTCTCCAAGTATTACCTACTGAAATTTGCTTGGTAAACTGCTATTGCCAAGAGAACATGTCGAAGAACTAAACTGTACGTTAAGCTATGTAACAAGACACTCTTTGCACTATTTAACACAGGAGTGCAAATTGTGCTTGATCTAATTCCACTTCTTTGGACTAGGGCAAATAATTTCACCCTCATAGTTTATGGGATCTGAGCTTACCTTAGTTTTCAAAAAGTTTATTAGATAAGGCCAGAATATTGTAACACCTGCCTATTAATTCGCTGCTCTCAGGAGCAACCCACTAAACAAGTAAAATGGGCATCCTTATTTCTCATCATGTTACCATCTTTCTCTGGGTAACCTGTAGAAACTGAAGCATTCACTTTCCTCTTCACTTTATCCCTAGGTTATCTAGTGATTTTATACATTACAAACACTGGTGCAGATGTAAGAATCAGGGCGGGACACAGTTAACAACCTTGATCTAGATTAACTGCTTGCCAAAATGTATCCACAGCACATTGCTACACAATGTGGTTTGCAACCCATTTAAATCTATATTAAGTGCTGTCAGTCTTAGATTTTCCTACAGACTCCAGTGCAAATTTATTATCCATGGTAATCACCTTATTTAAAAAACAAAAAGCTTCAAGGCAGTGTGGGAACTCCAACACAGCATTCCTGTTTCTTTAGGAAGTATGGGTGTCAGAATTGCCACCTATATATCCAAGCCAATATTCTGCTTACTTCAGAACTGACTAATTACAGAACATGCTTTTCCCTTACATTCATAACTTTAACTCAGAGACACTAAAATAACTGCCTCTGGCCACTGCCTGACATAGAAATTCAACAAGCAAATTTCTACTACCAACACACAGTAGAGACAGGCTCATGACCTTCTGACTGGACAGGGCCTGCGGAAAATTTTACAGAATCCCCAAAGAAGAGTTCACTTTTTGCACAGCTAAAACCTGAACATGTACTTTAAAGCAACCCTACACAAACATACCATTCAACCCATCCAGAGAAAGCACCGATTCAGGACTTAGCATAAATTACTCTTGCTCTTTTTTTTAAGAGAAGAGAACAATCCAGCCCCTTGCTTCTATTCAGCTGGCCTAGGATCAATCCATACGTTAGTAAAAATGTTTATAATGTTTGCCAGTCTCCAGCGGATTGGAGAAAATCGGTTAGAATATATGTAAAGTCTCCTACAAGTAGATTTCCTGGTAATTACACAGAAATGTCTATGTAGTGATGGAAATTATTTGCCATTATCTTTTTTCCTGGTGGTCTCCCATCCGGGTACTAATTAACAATCTACACTATTGGGTTTTTAAAAGACTACATTGAGTCAACCTCCCAATGATTTCGTGGACAAATTCCTGCAGTTTTCTTGGCAACTGTGCAGAAGAGGTTTGCCGCTGCCTTCCTTCAGACGTTTTTTCAACTTCCCAGTTTAGCCTTCGGACAGGCGATCCCCCATCCGAGTACCAGACAGGTTTGACCCTGTTTGGCATAGCGGAGAACAACTAAGGCCGAGGTTACGGCCTCCTCAACGCCCGGGAAGGAGCACGGGACTCTGGAAACCAAGTTCAGAAGCTCTGCACCCTCTTCTCTTCA